ACTCTTTCTGCAGCCTTTCTACTGCTACTCCTTGACTCTTTCTGCAGCCTTTCTACTGCTACTCCTTGACTCTTTCTGCAGCCTTTCTACTGCTACTCCTTGACTCTTTCTGCAGACTTTCTACTGCTACTTCTTGCCTGTGGCGTCACGTGGGTTGCAGACAAGGTGGTGCAGAATTGGAAAGTGAGCAAATGGGCGATAGGCTTAGTAGCTACTATTAGGATTTCTAGAGAAAGTCAGTTAAAGTCTGCAGGATATCCCGTAATCTAGATCTATCGATATTTACAACTGTTTCTAGATGAAACCGCATAAAAGCTGCAATAAAGTGATACAATACTAACAACTCGCTAGGCTCACAATCGGAGAAGATTTCAAGATTTCTGATTACTTTGCGCAGCACCAACAACCAGACTCAATTGGAAGATTTGCCTCAACAGGACTTGCTGGACTTGCTGCACAATAGATGGAGACAACACTAGTTTCGATAGCCATTCTTCATTGAGTTACCGTAGACTCTATAGTGTAGTAGATATAGGCTGCGGTAACTTGGGTCACATTTTTAGCTTGCACCAAATTAGTGCTGCAAAGAGCAGTTTCATGCACCTTTCTTCTTGGGCAGGAAGAACGATGCCTTGATTGTTCTACAGTGGCAAAATTACTTATTTGGAGTAAAGATTTTGCTTGCTCCCAGCAGACACAACAGCAAGCGGTGCCACGAGCATAAACCATCCTCGCTGATCACTGGCGCAGTCAGCGGGTGACAGATCACTGGCGCAGTCAGCGGATGACAGATCGCAAGGATGTAGTAATAGACCTAGTCAGAACAATTTTAAAAAGAGGAGGGGGGGGAGAAGGCCAGGGTTAGGTGGAGCGCTAATTGCTTGCACCAATTGAACCAATGGCGCCCCGCCACTGCTCCTTGGCTCCTTCTTATTCTTACTGCTGTCTTTCAGCCACGCCCCTGATGTTTTGGTAGGAAAGACCTACACCTATCCTTTTTGGACAAGGGCGAACAATCTCGGAGGGCCCGTGTGCAACTGCAAGTTGCGCACGTTAAAGATCCCTTTGTGGTCTAAAATCGACAAGAGCAGAATCTATAATAGGCTTCGGCGCCACACCGGGCAAAATTCAAAATTTCCTACCAACTGAAAAAGTTAAATGTGTCCCGCGCGCTCATGTGACCTTATGCAGTTGCGAGCGCCGTAAAACACT